CCCCCCCCCACATTGGTTGCTGTATTTCCTTCAAGGGAACCTATCATGTGAGATGCATGTGGGCTGCCATTGCTGATTTCCTTCAGGATATTCCAGCTTCACTGGCTGTAACATTAATCTCCGGCTTCAGTACTCCAAGCCACCTGACCCACAGCAGCCCTTTTTGTTTTGGATCAGTGACCCAGCGAGTGCCAAAGCCAGAGACAGCCAGCCAGATAGCATTTTCAGAAGGCAATTATCCTCAGTAGCCCCCATTTTTTTTTACCATCACATCTTCCATTAACTTTACATGTCTTCTCTCTTCCTGTAGCCTTTGCCGAGCTGCAGACTGACATCCACGAGCTGACCAATGACCTGGACGGAGCCGGCATCCCCTTCCTGGACTATCGCACCTACGCCATGCGCGTCCTCTTCCCCGGCATCGAAGACCACCCTGTGCTAAAGGAGATGGAGGTAGGCACCGCAGCATTGTTGTACAGAGCCCGCACCCGCTATACGTTCCTTGGCTAAGTGTCAGGAAACGGATGAATGCAAGAAGAATGGGCACGTGTCTAATCTGGGAGCTTGGCTCATACATCGTGCTCATTACACCGCTATTGTTCAGCAGGGGGAAGAAACAAGAGCACCACAATTGCTGTCTCCCCCCCCTCTGAGGCTGCCCAATGACTTCCAGATCTCTCATTGATATTGTCAGGTGTTGATAAATCCGCCTGTCGACTCTTCAATCAGCAGACCCAACGTCAATTTCATGACTGATTTTGGCAAACCCCGGGGCTCGGTTAGTCACACGACCGCATTGAATCTCTAAGGGGCCCATTAATAACCCTGTGCAGCTTTTCCCCTTCGCACGCCCCTGGCCATTGCTGGAAGTACTCCACACTGCGCCAGCATTTTATTTTATAACGTGCACAGCAAGGTGTGGAGGCTCCGGATGTCCAGCGGTGTGATCTCTGCGTAACACTGCGACAGTACTAGTATATAGGCACTGTCATGTGACACACTTTTGCAGCCAGATTGGGCTAACACCTACTTCTGTTACATGTTCCCATTCACGTAGCATAACTTTAAAAAACATATTTCAAGTGCTGCTTTTCTTTTTAGTTGCTGGAAAATCTTAGTTGGCCTTTTACGTCCATGTAATGTTACGGAGGGGGCTGGGACGTTAGGTTTACCATAAGTAACCCTCTCTGGCATATCTCATTATAATAATTTTTGGATATGATGCGTGAATGGGAACACATTAAACATCTATAGTGGGGGGTTTCTCCGCTTTGACTGCAAAGGGTTGAATGCTGGTTAAGTGTAGCGGTGGAGGAATAAGCTGTAGTTCTTACCTTATCCCTCGCTCCCCCAGGCTTTCAACCTAGTTGTATGACCTGCCCGCCAGAAGCCTCTTCTCTAACGTGCTCCAGCTAACGGACGCACTCTGACATCATCACATAAAGTGCAGGACCAGCACTTCTGTATTGTGTGTGAGGATGGTGAGGGCCAAAGGTGAGAGCACCAGAAGCCTCCATGCTTGAAAAATAGCCTTTTTTTTTCTATGCCGGAGTTTGGATCGCCGGAGTAAAATAATTACTGTAATATGTAAATCTAAGCTCTACATTACCACAGCCGGTCACAATACACCTATACGTGTCTATGCAGCTCTGAGGCCCAGCACTGTCCTTACACAGCAAAGAGAGAACAATAGTGCATTGTTCAGAAAATTCCTATCGTGGCTGATAAACTGGCATTTCTGCCTCTCGCCGTGCACATGTTTCCTCTGACAGCCTGACTACCACTTATAATTGTAATGATAATTTTTTTTTCACGTTAATGAACTGGCGCTGCAGAGTTTAAAGTTGGTGAAATTTATTGCTAGCAGGGTTTATATGACTATTTAAAAAGAGGATGCCATTTCATTTTTTATGCAACAAAAACTCAGCATCTAATTTACGCCGAGCGCTGTAAATTATAGGGAAACGGCTGCAAAAGTGATAATTTACAACGGCGGAAAATGTCATTTTTCTGGAGAAGATGGAGGATTTTTCTTCAATGCAGGCTTTTAGGGCGGTATTTATGGCCGTGGCAGCGACAGCCAGACTCGGAGGCGGCAGGAGCCCTGCAGTTGTTGTTGGACTACAGTTCTCAGCATGCTGCGAGTGACTCGTATTGTATGATCTTTCCTTAAAGCAGAACTCCAACTCAGGGGGAATACAGTGTTATTGTCAAGGTGCTTCCTTACCTTGTGCAAAATTGCTCCCCGTTTTTAAAGTCCGTTTTTACTCGTCATTCTCTCACAAACGTTTCCCTTTTGCCTCCTTTTTATTGTATGTTCCGGGTATGTTCTCCACTACATCCAATGGTGACCCACCCATAGCCACTGATTGACAGCAATGTTCCCCCATGCTGTGCCATGATATTGAACATAAAATTGCTGTAAGACCCACTGCTGGTCGCACTGGAAAATGAGCACTTTCAGCATCAGAAGGTCTCGTTCTTTCCTCCTGATTAGTCGAATCCTCACGTGAGCACAGGACTGGGCAGAAGCAAGCTTTTAATGGCTGTTTATCTGAGCACCAGCCACATCCATGACCTTCACGTTCGTGCATCCCCATGGAATCGTGACGAATGACGTTCAGATTTCCTACTGGGTATGAAGGAACATGTGATGGCGCTGGGCCAGTTTGAAATGTGCTGGAAAATTGCTTATTTTAACTTCCTTTGGCTGCTCAGCAACTACAAGGCCCACCATGCGGCAACAGGTGGTCATCAGCCTTCAGAGTGCAGGCAGAAATGTGTTTGTGATAAGACGTATGCAGATGTATTTGATATATTACCGTGTTCAGTATTTGCCCCTGATTCTTGGCGTAGTGTAAGCCGGTCCCCCAGCTGAACAGGATGTCGCTGGAACCGCAACTTTATTAAACATTCTTGCAGTATTCTATTACAATTCCCAATTGTGGAGGTCAGGCCCTTTGAGAACCTGGACATGCTTGCACTTTATATAAAAATTGAGCACATTTGTTTTTGTTTAAGACATTTTGGAAATATTGGTAAGTTTCGTTTAGAGTGTTGAAGCTCTGATTGGTTGCAGGTTGAATTAGACCGGCGGCTGTTATAATTGGCTGCAGGTTGGATCAAACCAGCCATAAACAGCCTGATTCTGCGCCGTCCTGTGCTGGTGAGGATTAGGCTAATCAGAAGGAAATAACGAGAACTTCTGATGCTGAAAGTGCTCATTTTCTGTTGGTACCATCAGTGGGTCTTGCAGCAATTTTTTGGTCAACATCATGGCACATGACACAGCACAGGGAGAACGCACTGGCAGTGTACCCATGTCTGACCAGTCCATCTGCTGGGAAATTTGTGATTAATGATTGCCAATCCCTAACTAGGTATCCAGACCTAGTGACACCAATGGATGGAACATCTAGTTACCAAGGAACTTTTTTTCCCTTTGGTATTTGTACAGTCCTGCAGTAGACCGCTGTTTACTAATCTTCTTGCATACCAACTGAATTTCAGGTTGCTTCTAGTCCTAAAAGCATTCTGAATGGCAATCAGTTGTACATTCAGGATTTGGCTAAACATTTTGGGGCATCTGACCATCATACCTATAGGAGCTTGTTAGTCATACAATTTAAACCCATGGCCATTAATAAGGAGATGCCATGTTTTACAGCTACAACAGCCTTCACCCTCCTAGGAAGTATTCCTACAAGATGCTGGAATCTTTCGGTGGGAGTTTGTGCTCATACATCCATATGAGCATTTGTGAGGTCAGGTGCTGATGTTGAAAGAGAAGACCTGGCTCACAATCCGCATTCCAATTCATCCGAAAGGTGTTCAGTAGGTTTGAGGTCAGAGCTCTGTGCAGGCCACACGAGTTCCTCCATACTAGACTATTAAAGGTGTTCAGTAGGTTTGAGGTCAGGGCTCTGTTCAGGCCACTTGAGTTTCTCCATTCCAAACTTTTGAAGGTGCTCAATAAGGTTTGGGTCAAGGGTGTGTGTAAGGCACTCAAGCTCCTCCTCACCAACTGGCCAAGCCATGTCTTTACAGAGCTGGCTTTGTACACAGGGGACAGTCCTACTGAAACAGGAAAGGGTCTTCCCCAAACTGCTACCATAAGGTTGGAGGAGCACAGTTGTCTAACATGTCTTTATACGTTGTAGCATTAACAGCATTGATTACTGGAAACACCTGAACGTAATCATTCGGAGGGGGAGTCCACATACTATTAGAGTGTATTTTAATGTGGGCTACATTTCTAATTTGAGTATGCCTTGCCAAAGCACGTCTGCTGCAATCTCAGTGTTTGTGGCATTCTGTGCCAGTAAATTCCACTGGAAGCTAAACACTTTCCAACAAGCAGACAGATCAGGGGAAATGTGCATTTAGTCGGTTGACACAGGTCTCTATCGAGCACAGCGCATACCATAAAAGCAGCCTTCTTACTCTATATCATCAATAGGATTTCCAATAAAGACCCGTCCAATTAAGTGCCTTACATTCCCCACACTTGTTTCATAGTTCGATATGTTTAATGGCTTTCCAAATTTACTTCCCAAAGCCGTCTCGTAAAACAAATGACAAACTTCCCCAGTCCGCATAATGTGCAATCTGCTTTTCGTCTGCTGCAAGGTGCGCTGGCGCTTCCATTAGACGGGCGGTAATTGGGGAGAAGTTATGTTTCTGGCAGACAGTTTCCAGATGGTCACAAACTCTGTCCTCATCAACCCCGAGCTTCCTCCAGAAAGAAAGCCGGGAGGCATTAACCCTAATGTACAGATTCTTTAGGTTGTATTCATTAAGGGATAAGCTCACTTTCTCCCGAAAAATAAACAGGGGAACTAATTAATAGCTTCACTTCCCCTCCTAGCTCCCAATCCTTGTTAGTCTGCAACGAACGGGCCTTTGCACAAATACTCTAAGTGCGCCAGCACAACCTAGCCCGGAAAATCATCTTGGCTGGCACAGACCAGTGACTGGCATCTTCCACTGCCGTTTATCGAGCCTGATCCTGCTTGCAGCTCTGCAGCACGTTCATCCTCTGAAGCGACTGTTACACAAGCTGATGGAAGCCCGACCCGCATCTCTGCTGCGTCTCCCCGAAGGCTCTGTGGCGCAGGAACAAATGGAGTCGGGTCTGTCTTTCTGATAGGCAGAGAGCCATAAAGGAAAACTAGAGAATGTATATCCCATGTATACTAAGAACCTGCCAACCGCTGTACAAGCTTTTGCTGCAACTATAGTCATGGTCAAAAATCACATGAATATGACTCTCGTTCTCATCTCAACCTACAAGTGCAAACACATCTATGTGTATTGTGTTCTTTGCTGAAATATTGTTGGTCTTGTGATGCACAATGCACAGGTAGGAAGACAGTGCCACAGCATCTCCTCCACCTTCCTCTTCATCTATAGACCACTCACTGGACTCTGAATCGCTGACCTCATACTGCTGATTTACAGTCCAATGAGCAAGCAGCTGACACAGGAATGCTGTAAAATTGACCCAGCACACAGTATTGCTATTTGCCAGGTTGGGCAGGGTATATGAACTGCATAACTGGCTGAACAGAATGACTAGTCATTTTGGAAGTACAACCATTTAACTGTGTGTCTGGAGTTCTGCAATACAGTAGCTGACGGTGCAAAGAAGGAACACTGGAGTCATCACTGGCCCAAAAATAGCAGTTTAGCATGTCCGGTCTAGAGAAAACTTTTTCCTAATTGCCGACGCAGAGCTTGCCCGGCAGTAAAATAACCGAAGGAGTTAAGCTGGGATCTGTGTCACTCTGTAACTTCAGAGCCATGGCTGGTCTTCCTGTTAAAACAATTCAATGACTTTATAACTCTCAAAGGCAATCAGAGAGCCGGTGGAATGAGGCCGCCTCGTGCCGGTGGGCCGGAGGCGAGCGAATCCAGACTCTGTGTCCTCCTCAGCTCTGCGGGAAAACCTGTTGTGTGCAATTTGCACCCTACAAAAGAGAGCCACTTAGAAAACTCCAGAATTGAATGCCCAATGAATATATTATGAATACTCCAGTGATTAATGTCCCAGCTGCTTCTGTCTTTTGTAAAGCCCTCCCCCCCCCCCCCTCTCCCTCCGCAAAGGTTGAGGACTCTTGAACTACACGAAACCTGGGTGATAATTTTGCCTAATGGTTGAATTAATCAGCCGCGCAGAATGTATAAAGCGCAGGGAGATGTCTGCAATGAGCTCTCCCCTCCCTCGCAGAGTTCCCATTAAATGAAAAGTGCCCTGTGTTATAATGATGAAGAGTCCTCCTATCGTGTTGAATTTACACTCACCTGTGCTGTACAAGTTCATACTCTCTTATCAGCGGTCCCTAGGGATCGGGGCTCCTTTACAAATTTTTTATCCCCTTGTCGTATGCTTGAAATTGTCACGGTGAAGAGCATACTGCATTGCTGCACGGTGCAGAAATGTTGAACGTATACTGAAAGAGCTGCAGGTGTCCCGTGTGAATTGAAGCTGAACACCTGGAAAACAGCTAATAACAGATAAAGTATATATGGCGGCTGCTTTACCTGCTGAAAGATTTGTATTTCTGTCCTTTCATTCCTGAGATGTACAGCTCCGCCACACAGCACAGCCCTGTTCTACAAGGTTTTAGGGTGCATCTACTGATTTGTAAGGTCAGGTACTGATGTTGGTTGAGAAAACCTCGTTCACACTCATGTTCCAGTTCATCCCAAAGGTGTTCGGTAGGGTTGAGGTCAGGACTCTGTGAAGGCCACTTGAGTTCCTCCACAGCGCACTCATCAATCCATTTCTTTATGAAGCTGGCTTTGTACACGGGGGACAGTCAAGGTGAAACAGAGAAAGGGATTTCACCAAACTGTTACCACAAGGTTGGAAGAAATGTCCAACCTTGTGGTAACAGGCCCCTTCATTGGACGCATTTAAACTCAATATTTTGGAGGGATGTCCTCATACTTTGGCCGTATAGTGAATATCCACCCGATAAGAAAATAACGATAAACTTGTTTCTGTTTATTTTATCATTTACAGCTTCACATTGTGTTCTAAATATTGTTCCATGTGTGTCCATCCCAGGTCCAAGCAAACGTGGAGAAGGCTCTGAATCTCTTTGGGCAGCTGCTGAACAAAAAGCATTTCCTCCTGACCTTCATCCGCACACTGGAGGCTCAGCGCAGCTTCTCGATGCGAGACCGTGGAAACGTGGCCTCCCTTATCATGACGGGGCTGCAGGGGGAGATGGAATACGCCACAGGGGTCCTCAAACAGCTCCTGTCTGACCTCATCGAGAAGAACCTTGAAAGCAAGAACCACCCCAAACTGCTGCTCAGAAGGTAAGATGTCTGCTGTGTGCTCATAGAGCAAACTTTTTGTCCTGCAGCTTTCTTAGTTGTGTAGATTTTCCTCACTTCCTTTTCCTGTCCTATATGGTAAGACATTTCTCTAGTGCTCTTCGTAATCAGCACTTGGAAACAGAGCTGATCAGACATGCCACCTCTGCAAAACAAATCTGTCTGAGGACACTTGTGTTGAGTGATGTGACTTACTCAGCTTGTCACTCAGTGGTTCCATCTTTTTTTGCAGAGAGTTGCCTTAGAGATTTTCAGCAGCTCAATTGTGCCACTAAAATATCTAACATTTGAATCCCTGGCAGCAGCAAAGCAAATGGCTCCCTATGGAGTAAGCTACACAAGTATCATGTAGAATGGTCTTACTCAACATTCTTAAGAACCCTTGAAATAACTTTCAGGTCTCAGAAAACCTCTTCTAATTATAATTATGTCTACAGCTCGTGAGTAGATGTAAGAATGTTGTTGATATAAGAAAATTAAGGAATGTGGCATTCTTGACATATTTGAGACTCAGACTTGCTCTTTATGTTCATATATTCAGTAATAATAATGATTGGAACAAATAATAATGGGCAGAAAAGAAATGCAGACAGTGAAAGCTGTAGTGCTCCCCACACCAGTGGTCAGCGAAGGGTCATACTACATTGGTGGTCAGTGAGAAGACCTCTCCTCACACCAGTAGTCAGCAAAGAGCCATACTACATTGGTGGTCAGTGAGAAGACCTCTTCCCACACCAGTGGTCAGCGAAGGGACCATACTACATTGGTGGTCAGTGAGAAGACCTCTTCCCACACCAGTGGTCAGCGAAGGGACCATACTACATTGGTGGTCAGTGAGAAGAACTCTCCACACACCAGTGGTCAGCGAAGGGACCATACTACTACATTGGTGGTCAGTGAGAAGACCTCTCCCCACACCAGTGGTCAGCGAAGGGCCATACTACATTGGTGGTCAGTGAGAAGACCTCTCCTCACACCAGAAGTCAGCGAAGAGCCATACTACATTGGTGGTCAGTGAGAAGACCTCTCCCCACACCAGTGGTCAGCGAAGGGCCCATACTACATTGGTGGTCAGTGAGAAGACCTCTCCCCACACCAGTGGTCAGCGAAGGGCCCATACTACATTGGTGGTCAGTGAGAAGACCTCTCCCCACACCAGTGGTCAGCGAAGGGCCATACTACATTGGTGGTCAGTGAGAAGACCTCTCCTTACACTGGTGGTCAGCAAAGAGCCATAGTACACTGGTGGTCAGTGAGAAGAATGTTCCCTTGAAAAGATCATTGGCGTCAGTGGTAGCTTATCTGAGAGGCAGAAATTAACTGCTCAAGGAACCTCTAGCAATCTCTAGTGGAACCCTAGACTTCCACAGAACCCTGCTTGAGAAAGACTGATGTAAACGTATCTTGCAATGTGTCTCCATGTGGGATTGATTGCTACTACATTCTACTTGTGTAGCTTACTCCATAGGGAGCCATTTGTTCCATCTGTTTAGTGATCAGTTGTTCATCCTAGCTAGTTATTGTCTAGTGAGTTTAGTAGAATGATTGAGCTGCTCAAAAGTAGTTGTAACCTAATGAGGTGACTCCAAGCAAGTGCTTAAATCTCTCAACAGCATGAGATTAAAATAACCCATGTGCTTCTAGCAATTACAAGGGGCCAGGATGGTGCTTTCAGGGGAAGAGTGACCCACTACGGTCCCCAGAAAAGGAGCCACTTGGCGCCTAGAGAATTGTGTGACAGTCCATGACGCCCGGAGCAAACCAATCATTTTCCCCCCAATGGAGTATTAAAGAGAGAGAATCCGCTGTAGACAGTGTAGGCAGTTGTCCCCCCTCCTCTTCCCAGGCACCTTGCACCCGCAGTGTCCATGCTACAGATGGGCTTCCGGGCCCATTAATGACAGCTTATCATTGGTCCAATCCCGAGCACAATGGCGGGCAAATGTGAAGATGATTAAAAAGGGAGCCTGAGCGAAATCAATCCCCGCAGCCAGTCGGCACTGAAAGAAGAATTAAACACAATCACATCGATTTCTGAATGCAAAAGCCCGGGTTCTGCTAAAAAATACATTATCTTCATTAATTCAATATCTTCCCATCCTCTCTCTATTGATCACCGGGCCAGTGACAGAAATTGCACTTCAAGGCTGTGTGACGGTCGGAGCTGGCTGTAAATGAAGCTCTTAATGCTTATTTATTGCCTCTCTCCTACCTATCTGTGTCAGCTCCTTCCAGGGCCGCTGGAAGCAGCCATCGGCATGCACGAGCCGCCCAAGAACGCCGCTCCAGTATCCTGCCATACCGCCTGTCCCCCCAGTGCCTGAGCCTTTATGTCCCAATAATGAGGGTTATTAATAACTACCATGTGTACATTCAAAGAGACCCTGTCACCATCTTAAAAAGAAACAAACATCAATCATTTTTTTTTAATGCTGACTGGCAGCTTTTTCTTTCCATAAATGATGTTTCACTTGCAATGCTGCCTCTACTTCCTAGATAATTGGACTTCTCCAGCAAAGGTACATTCCCTAGCACAGCCCCCTCCCTCTTTGCACATCATCCTCTGGTGTGTTCACTTACTGTCTGTGCTGGTCCAGCTTTTCCACCCCTTACCTGCCTATATAACCTTTTATGTAGCAGCCAAGGGGGGATTGAAGAGGAATACTATGCAGCCATGGTGTCCAACCTACGGCCCTTTGCAACTTGCAGACCCTCAGCAGTCAGTAGCAGAAGCATTCATTTGTAAAGAGGCTATACTGAGTGTGATCTCTGGCAGTCTCATGTTGCATGTCTCCAGTCTCTCTCTATCCCCTGCAACATGTCTTCAGTCTTCAACCAAGCCTGTTGCATGTCATAGGCAGATTGCAAGGCAATAGAAAGTAATTTAATCAAAGGGTTAACTGCTGCAAGTAAGCATTCGGAATGCTTAATTCTTCTCTGCTTTTACCTACACTTGTTTATGCCGGTGACAGGGTCTCTTTAAACGGCAGCACTCCGTGTAAACAAAATCTGTCCACTAGAAGGAACTTCAACCTGCTCAGTAGACGGCACTCAGAGGTTATCAAACCGAGAGATACGATCAAAGTACACTTAGTCCATTAGCAGCGGCAGATCAGTGTTTGCCGTGTCTGACAGGGAAACGGCATAACGCAATCCTTAACCAGTTGAGCCCCACAAGTCCCCCGAGGACAGAAGGGATTAAGCGGTGTGATCTTCCTCCCCATGAACTGGTCCTATTTAATGGTGCATGCATCCATCTCATTATAGCCTTCCTGGCTGGCTACAGCCTCGTCCCCTTTGATGTCGGCTTCCTTTTCGTTGCTTATTACAAAACTACGGCCTGCACTTTCTAGGCTCCCTGGGGCTGGTTCAGGCGCACAGAAGGAGACGAAATGTAATTTATATTGAGATCAATGAAAAAGCTGCTCGCTCGCCTCTGGCTGGCTTGTTGATTGTTACAGTTCTGGTGTCTGCGTGATGCCGACGGGGAAAGCCATTGCCGAGAGAGAGACGGGGGCACCACCCATGTCTCTGTCAGCCGGTCAGCTCGGCCCGGGACCCCTCAATTACAAGGCATGCGTTTGGACCTTAAAGGAGAACTACAGGGTCAGTGTTTTTCCCCATAGTTCTCCTTAGGGTAACGGGAGGACACAAACTAGCGTCCTCCAGTCACCCTAAGCTCAGTATATAGGGAGCTATAGCTCGCGGTTTACTGAGACGCCGGAGCGGATCCCGACTTAGACGACGGGATCCGCCCAGCTGTGTGAGTGACAGCTGGCTCTGCCTATCTAGAGGCAGAGCCAGCTGTACCCTCCCCCGTCCGTTCCGCCAGTCAGTGCTGGCAGATCAGAGCGGGGAGAGGGGAATCCATCCCCTCCCCTGTCATGGCAGAGAGCCGTGACAGGATCGAGAGGTGAGCGAACCCCGTATGTGTTCGATCACCTCCCGATCTACTGAGCTGACCTGTGACAGTCTCATTGTCACAGGTCGGCTAGAACTATGCGGTGAGTGAAAAGCACTCACCTCTTAGTTCTCCTTTAAGAAAAAAAAATAGAGGTTCTGCATATATGCCGATCTCCCTGAGGCACAGGCTAGATAGATAGATAGATAGATAGATAGATAGATAGATAGATAGATAGATAGATACTGTATTTTTACAACACGTCTTTTAAATTTTGACTCTCCCCTCCACAAATTAATTAAAAAAAACACTCCAACCTGAGTCTGCCATCATGTGACCGCTCCGCGGCAAGAGTAGAGACCAATGATGCAACGCTGCAGTCCGGGTCTGCCGCCAAGTGGTCTTGTTGCCGCCTCTCGTGATGTCATCATGCTGTTGCAGTCTTCCAGGACCTAAAAGAACCCCGGACAGCCAATGTGAAATAATCTGAGATTGAACTGGCACGACAGAAATTATTCATCCAGATGTCGATTTATTCCAGAGTAGATAGATTTTATCACAAAGCCATTGTGTTTCAGGGGTCAGAGAGAGTCCCTATCATCAGGGCTACAAAGGAGGCATATATAAAATATCTACGGTGCCCGTTGTAGGCAAAACTTTCCAAAAATAGTACAATATCATATTAAACATGATTTAATGTAATATTTAAATTGTATATAGTTAATATTACATTATTAAAAGAAGACACATATGTGGATCAATGACATGGGCAGCTGGATAAAGGTAACTGAAATATCGAGGATGCATAATATTGGGAAATGTCCACTTCACCCAGGCAGCATCACCCATGTGCACCCAAAAAAAGGACCCTTTCTTAAAGCTGCACTGTACAGGACGGCCAGTTACAGTTCCAGCATGTCTGTTATTCTGTACACTGAGGTATACATTGTATATAGACCACTAATTAACTTTTTTTTTAATGGGTGGGGCCAGTAGGATGCAGCAGAGTGCGGAATTGGGAGAAAAAAAAGGGTAATTAAGTGGAGGAAATACGGCGCATACAGCAAACGCCACAGATAGGAAACCATAAACGTTCAGATAATTAGCTTTGTAGATATTACGGCTGCGCAGGCTTTTGCAGTATCTTTGCAGCCCAATGAGAAATCATCAAAGTTGACGAGAGTCTGTTGCTTTGTCTCGTTATCTTAGGACGGAGTCCGTGGCGGAAAAGATGCTCACAAACTGGTTTACCTTTCTGCTCTACAAATTCCTGAAGGTAAGATTCTGTTTGTTTCATATATTTTCTTCTTCTGGTTTAGGTTTGGGAAAGTCAGGTGTGTAAGTAAGGCGAAGATAAACTGGCAGACCGCCATAACCTGTGCCAGCCAATCAGAAATAGTCTTTCAATGATGTACTGTAGCGTAAAGCCCAAATCTTTTCTCCGACAATGCCCACTAGCAGTAATTCCTTTTCACCACTAGATGTCCTCGGTCTTCTGGGTTGAATGACGCCCAGACCTATTGTGAGTGCATAGTGTCATGAACCCACCCTCTGAGAGGCTATCACTATGGCACCCCGCAAACTGCTTAACAATGCAGAGAATTTATAGTTTTAGGGTTATTTTTGTAAATACTTGTATATGTATAATTTAATTGTGTATGGAGGCGACCATATTTACTCATTATAGATTTTCTCCGGCCAAAATTGGTGATAGTGGAGGGCAGTGGTCTTTCTTTCACCATATATGAATAAATAATTCTTGGGACACTACAATTATCTAAATGTATTACAGATGTTCTCTAGCAAAAATGTTGGTAGTAGTGGGGTGGGGGGGCATGGGCTAGAGTGGTCTTCTTTCTTCTACCATGTGTGAATAAATATTTATTGAGACACTTCAATTATATAACTGCTAACATCATCTATACTTCGCTGAACCAGTCCCTAGCAGCTTACTTACCTCCTCTGACTGGGTCAGTGGGTAAAAATTTTCCAACTCGTAGACTTAAATAGGACGTGCCCTTATTGGAAGATCACCGTCCCATTGAAGTCTATTCAGCAATAGTGCACGGGCAGCCCGGCAATAGATTTTTACCAGCTGGGATGTAGACAACACATGAGGTCATCAGAGGAGGTACGTTGGGTCCAATAGTACCCTAAGCGTTAACTTATGGTAGGGGGCTGAGAGTTTTATTATAATTAGTTGTTTTGTTTTATATAATTAACTTGCCTTTTAGGCAATTGGGACCATACAGTACTTTTTAATCTGGAGAGCAATGTACGTTTTTACATCTTCAACATTGCAAGCTTTTTGTAGAAATGAGTGACTTAACACCCCAATATTAATTACAGGTTCTACTACCAATGTGGAGAGGTCCCAGGGGCCTGAATAGTTCAACATAATTGTCAAGGCCTTTCCCGTTTTACTCATTAGTCCAGAGCCTTGACACAAGAGGCCCGATCTGGCCCATTCAGTGCCCCCCTTGTACTACATGTAGTTTTCTTGCCCTGAAATACACATCCCTATTAATGGAAAGAGCCAGAACTTTCCTCTTAAGCTGAGTGGTTTAAAAAGCACTTCCCTCCTCCGTCAAGGCTGAACGTACCCATTTAGCCCGCAGTAAGCCGTTGAAAATGTTCCTTTTCGCGGACTCGTGCTTAATATATACACCTACCTGGTCATTATGTGCTTTAAATAAAAGACCTTCAGTCTTTTCCTGGCCAATAAATAAACAACTCCTGAAGGGAACGAATACTTGGATGTGGAAAGTGTGGCCTTTCTGTCACTTAATAACTTAGCAGTGTTTTCTACATCTCCATGTAGCCAAGTTAGATTTGTGGTTCCTAGAGCCTGCTCTTGTCACCTGCCTGAGGACACCAGGTTTTCAGTATTGGCATGGGGATAATTGGATATTGCAGAAATTGGGGAGGGTTGGGCGGGGTGTTATTATGAGCTGTGGCTTTGATTCTATAAGTCATTTTTGGCATTAAAGGGTATTTCAGTCAAAAAGCTAAATTACACCGCAAAAAGATTTGTACAGTCATGTATATACTAGGGCAGGGGAAAGCAACCACGGCACTCCACCTGTGGTTAAATTACAAATCCCATCATGCTTCTGGGAGTTATGACTGTGGCTTTCAGAGTCTTGCAATGCCTCATGGAACTTGTAGTTTCACCATAGCTAGTGTGCCGGGGTTGCCTACCCCTGTACTATGGTGATCATCGCATCTCTGCTACTTTGCATGGTTGCAACAAGATGTTTCATATCCTGCACACTGTTGCAGGGTTTGTCCCACTGCCCAGCCTCCTAAAAGCTCATTGGGCTGTTAGTGAGCATAGCCACCCAGTGCCTCCCCCTCCTGCCCATCACTCCAGGGAACAACTACACCAACTGCAAGTGTGATATCAACTTTCACCTGGCAAGTGGGAAAACTGCTAGGGTCACCTGCTCATTAAGTCTAGGGGTAGAGGAATAAGGTTGTAATACTTATCCCTCACTACAGCAGGCTTCCGACACTCACCTCTCCTCTTTGGAGTAAGGCCAGGCCCTCATCACCCTCATCGCCCTCCATTGTATGTACTGACATCCGGGTGCAACCACCGGCTGGAGCACCAAAGAGAATAGGCTTTGTTAGACCAGTCGCACAGCATGGTGGATGCCGGCTGGAGAAAGGAATAAGGTATTGTAGCCTGTTCCTCTACCGATAGACTTTACCAGCTTTTAACCTTTGCAGTCTGGGGAGGCCCCAGCGCGAGGGTCATTTATTTCTGCTGCCCGGAGTGGGGCTTTGAGTCCTAAATCTAATGCTCGGTTGTGCGAGAGCGGTGCATTGTGGGAAACGGCTAATAATTAATTTATCATCGATAAGTATCATCTTTTCAGAGTTCTGCGCAGCAGTGATTTGGATATGTACGCAAGGAGTGTAATTTAATGACTCTTTCTGCAAACGGCAATAAAATATAGAAGGTGCTGGGATATATGTATGTATCTCTACCTCTCTTCCTCTCGCTCTGGCTTTTGTATCTGAAGGCCTGCATGGTTATTCATCACGGGTGTAATGAGACATTCCCTGCAAAACGAGGAGGGGGCTTTGCTCTGAAGTGTTGAAAAACGCACAGTATTAGTTGCCTGATGAGCTAAATCTTGTCAATAATGCTCTTTCCATACAAGCGGCTCTTGGTTTGGAAATGCCGGCGTCTTGGCTTGTCTTTTTTTCATCCTTTTTATAAGGGAGAATTGCGGACGTTTAAATGTTTCATTTGCAGCCTGGCTTAGATGATACCGAGACACCGAGCCGCGTGTGCTATACAAATGGTGGCTGAGCAATTTGTCTCTCAGAGAGGTAGCAACCTAGAACCAGAACCAGGTCCACCATACTCCCACCACAGCGTTTCCCTACTTAAAGGAGAACAAACTTTTTTTCAAATATACATTAAAACTCATTTCCATTTCCAATGGCCTCATTGACACATCCAAATAGGTCTGCACAGTGGATTCCTGCAGCAAAAACTGATGGATTCTTGGGATTGAAACATAGCCGTATGCAAACAGCTGGACAGTCAGGACAGGCAACGCAGTTCGCATATATCCAGACATCCAGCGGTTAGGGACAAATGACTGGCCCGGGATGCGGACAGATTGCACACAGGACCAGTCATATATCCCTAGCCACAGGTAACCACTGGATGTGCAGATACACATGAACAGCAGCAGTCCTGTGTGCAATCTGTCCTCATCCAGGGCCAGTCATTTGTCCCTAGCCACAGGTAACAGCTGGTTGTCTGCATACATGCGAACAGCTGCGACGCCTTTCAGCCTGTCATCTCTTTGTACAGGCTTCCCGGCCGCAGCTGTTCACATACACTTCTGATTGAAACTGTTGCAGCTAGACTGTAACCAGTAACAAGGAGTATCTTGTAAATCAGCGGTCGCCAACCAGTGGTCCGTGGACCACTGGTGGTCCTCAAGAAAAGTTTGGTGGTCGCCGGGCCCCTCTGATGCCGTGCAGGCTGGGCCGTCATTGAAGTGGCACGGAGGCTCCAGGGCTGCCTCTCACTGACTCAAGCAGCGGCTGTCACAAGGAATGTGCGGCTCTCAGTACAGTGCGGGCTCTGCAGGAGGCGGTGCATCTCGTCGGTACCCGGACTATATATAGATACACACACATATGAGAATATATTTATATATGAGGAAAGAAAAAAAATATGAGTATATATATATATATATACTGAGTGGCCAGATTATTATGACCACCTGATGTTTGTAGGCAAATTAGCTATAATTTTGCGCTGAAGTTGCTAGAGGGCCAGACCATTATAAATAGGGAAGCCGGTTGGTTACCACGACAGTAGAAGGGATTTGTTTCTGAAGATACGGGGAAACAACGCGATTTAACAGCCTTTGAACGCGGGATGATTGTTGGCGCTCGGAGCCATGGAGCGAGTATCAGCAAAACACCAGAATTCGTTAAATGTTGAAGAGCAGCTGTTGTTAAAGTGTTTAAAGACAGGACTGTCAGCCGAAAATCTGGGTCTGAACGTGCGAATTGTGGCCGTCAGCGACTAGTCAATGTTAGGGCAGAACGGGGGAGGGGCAAGACTGGTACAAGACAACAGAAGGGCAACAGTGCCGTGTCAGATTCCTCGCATCACCTTTCATCATCTCGTGGAGTCACGAGGCGGCCCAACGAAGTACTGATGGGGGGGTCATAATAATCTGGCCATTCAGTGTAAATATATATATATTTTTAAATTCATATTGGTGGTCCGCGGGATTTAAAATGATGAATTTAGTGGTCATGAGGTCTGAAAGTTTGGTGACCGCTGTTGTAAATGTCTCTAGCCTAAGGGTCATGTCCTGCCATTGCCATAATGCCAACATGACTGCTGACCTGAGAGGAGGAGAAAATCCACTCATTACCCCGTGCTTTGTCTTCTTTTGCACCTGACTGACCAATCTAATCTCAGCTCGGTGGTCTAATTAATTTCATTTTACAGCAGCCAGGAATTAAAATTATATTCGAGAACAATTCATTGGCAGAGATGGTGCTTTGCTGCATTCATCCTCATTTTATAGAAAGACAGGTTGTGCAAAGATATTCCACATCATTATCCACTTCATTCAATGCTAATACTCACCTTTGACTTCCCCCTCCCCCGGACTTTGTGAGTGTAAAGATGGCTGCTTCATCGCAGCAATAGGACCAGCTTGCCAGAGCTCTTGTTAGCATTGAAAATGCAAAATCCTCTTTTTTTTTTTTTATCATCCGCCAGTCGGAGCGCAGGTGTCCCAAAAAAAAATCCTGCAGAATCCATTAATTACCCGTTGTGTGGTCAGGCGCAGATCCCGCTCTTCACCTTCCCCAGGCTGAATTAATGAAGCTAAGTTTGCAAATGAACCATAATTTCAAAGACAAGCGCGTTGTCGGAAGGTCTGGGGATGATGTATGCCTGCTCTCGCTCGTTAGCAGCTGTCTCTTTAATTACTGCAGATGCTAACGAGATGCTAACAGCATATGGTGACAGGGAAGCACTTGCACTTTTGCACCAGAGCAGATCTTGATGTGAAAAAGTGTCGTGGAGATGCCGGTGCTGCCCCCAGACCATAGTGTAATCTTAAAGTTGTTATATCAACATGCTCTGGGGGGCTTTATTTAAAAAAAAAAAAAAAACCTTGATTTAAGCCAGCCAGATATAGACTTAGATGTAATAAAACAGGTGTAATGATAACCCCAACTCTAACCCTTTACCTGAAGCAATTTGGCTAAGTGGACCATGCAAAGAATTACCAGCAGGTCTATCTAATAGAGGAGGGGGCGGAGACCAGACCAGTCACCCTGCCCCAGGAGAGAGCAGCAGTGACCAGTCTTTATTACAGGAGGGGGAGGAGACAGGACCAGTCACCCTGCACATGGAGAGAGAGCAGCAGTGAATGGTCTTTATTACAGGAGGGGGAGGAGACCAGACCAGTCACCCTGCCCCAGGAGAGAGCAGCAGTGACCGGTCTTTATTACAGGAGGGGGAGGAGACAGGACCAGTCACCCTGCACAAGGAGAGAGAGCAGCAGCGACCTGGTCTTTATTACAGGAAGCACCTGCAAGGATTTCGGCTTTAACATGTAAAGGCAATTTTTTTTAAAAATGTACTTTTAGTTTTCAAGACGTATGGAGGAGTTAACACTGTTTCCAGGTTTTATTGACTCTTGTGTTCCCATTGGGTGGATTTACCCCCAGTACATTGTCACCGAATCGGCACAAAGTGATGAAAATGTCCCACCTAGGGCGCTCATTGCTGTGACAACTCTCTGATATGGGAGTTCGGTTCACTTTGGAGAGATTTTTTCTAATTTTCAGTTGCGCCACTAAGGCAGGAAATGGACGGAAATCTCCTAACTCTAAATCCACCAAAAAGTTTTGGCTTTACATACACGTTACGGTCATAGTACAAGCACAGGTCTTAAGATTCTTGAGATACCACCACCATCTTCCTCTGTGCTGCACAAAGTAAAGGGTGTATACGGGTTTAAACACTAACATTAGAATGTTCATAAATACATAAAACACTAGGGAGCGTTCCCCGAAAATCCTCTATGTCAGGGGTAGGCAACCTCGGCACTCCAGCTGTGGCCACACTACAAATCTCGTCATGCCTGGGGCTGCTAGAGTCTTGCAAAGCCTCATGGGACGTGTAATTCCACAACAGCTGGAGTGTCGAGGTTGCCTATGTGGGAGCTTTTTTTTTTCTTTTTTGGACTGTACACTGGAAGAACACAAGCTTTCCAGCAACAGCTACATAGTACTTCAAGTCTTCGCATGTACAAGCCAATACTAATCAATACTTTTGGCTTGTGAAGATGTGAGGAAAGCTAATCAACGTTGCCGGTTATTTTCTACCATCTTATGATTGTGTTATTGTCTTCATTTTGTCTTAATTGTGATTGTAATTTCCCATCTTGTAACTGTGTCCCCCCCCCCTCTCTGGTCCTGCACAGGAGTGCGCCGGGGAACCGCTGTTCATGCTGTACTGCGCCATCAAGCAGCAGATGGAGAAAGGGCCCATTGACGCCATCACAGGAGAAGCTCGCTACTCCCTGAGTGAAGATAAGCTCATCCGCCAACAGATCGACTACAAGACGGTGGTCAGTACACTAGAGAGCAATATCTGTTCGCTATTAAACCTCATTTTCACTGACTCTAGCAGTGTGCATGTTGTGTGTTTTTGCTGAGGATGCTTTTGTGTGGCGGGAGCAGGTCTGTCCAGCTCTAGTCTTCCATGTCTACTCACGGCCCTTTTGTTGAGAAGACGGTGAAACGGCTAGATGTTATTTTGCAGGTAGGGCTGCAGCTGGACAGACCTGAGCTGAGCTGATAAGGGAGACCTCTCTGCTCTTCTGAAACCTCCCATTTATATCGGCACAGCAAGAGGCCAACTCCATCCAGGACTGATATTTCCAGCTGATGGTTTCTGTCAACTGGCAGGTTTTCTGAGATACTCCAGTGGTTTGGTTTCCCCACAGATGTTTGTGTCTCCGCCCCCTTTCACAAGGCCATAATATAGATGTCACTCTTCTACAACTGTACACAGGGCTGAATTTCCCACATGGCCAACCGAGGCCCGGTCTTGGGGCAGCAGGGGTGTGGGCAGCAGGGAGTAGAGGGGCAGCAGGGGTGTGGGCAGCAGGGAGTAGAGGGGCAGCAGGGAGTAGAGGGGCAGCAGGGGGGTGGAATTCCTATCTCCCGATGCTCGGGACACGAAGTTCCGGGTGCCGGTCAGGTAGTTGTTTTCTACATTTAGCCCTGCTTTGGGTGACTGGGGGGGGGGGGGGGGGGCAGAGAGAGTTAAATCCCAGGACCCCAGAGAAGGGGGTACCCTTTATACCCCATTGGCTATTTACATGTCTCACATAAAATAAAGTAACCCCATAGGTCATACATAATGTAAAATACAGAAACAGTTAGCAGTCCAGCAGTAAGAAAGTGATGCACCCTATTATAGGTTTGTGAGAGGGGCAGAGACACAAACGATGGATCAGAATTCCTGAGATGTACCCAATTCTAGCACCTGATTTCACTTTACCAGTGCCCACCCTAGACCCGAATATCTGTGTTGTATGGAGTTGTCTTTTAAGCAATTATACAATCTCATATTTAATCTGATTCGACTAGCATAGCCCACACCATGCTGCATTGCCACCCGCTATTCAACAGAGTCGCTTTTTTTTTCATTGGACTTTTTCTCTCTCTCTCCCCCCTGTCCTCTCTCTTCTTTTTTTCTTTGTTTCTCACTAAACCGGCTCACCCTTTAATGGATTGAAGAATCCTTCTGATGGCGGGCTGAGCGATGAATCATGGTCCCGCTCGCCTCAAGTAAGTTTTGATCCCAGCTCTATGCTCTGTGGCTGGATCCTTCAATCCATTTCAGCTTTGACTGTGGTGAAGGCGAGCAGAGTTTCCTTCTCCTGCTGCTGTTCAACCAATCCCAGCACACCACATCGCAGAACTGCCCCATAGCTTGAGGAGGCTGTTATTTTGCCCTGAATAGGCCGAAGTGACAGATTCTCTTGTAAGGAGAATCCCCAACCCACTGATACTTGCCTCCTCTGCACTTTCCCACCGCTGTGTTCATCTGTCTGAGCCACAGGTCCAAACCTTGTGTATGCGTCACATCTGAGCTTACACAGGGTTAAAATAGCCCTCGCTCTCAGGCCCCAGCACTGCATCCTGTAAGGAGGTCACATGTTCCTCCATAAGCATAGACGTCAGTGTATCATGGGTTCCAACAGAGAGTCAGGGGAGTGCATCAGTGGGTTGGGGAGTTGTTCTTAAGAACCTCTTTGAAGGGCCTGTCCACCTAAAAACTATTATTGTAGATATGGCTGAATGCCAGTGGGCTGAACCTGGATGCAAGAGGCCTCTTCTGGACAGATACACTTATGACAAAAAGTTGGTGCACACCTGACCATTACACCTTCCTATATGGCCAAATATATATGGACACCCCTACTAAATGATTGGGTCCAGGTGTTTCCAGTGAAGGGTACTGTTAATGCTACAGCATACAAAGACAATTATGTGCTTCCAACCTTGTGGCAACAGTTTGGGGAAGGCCCTATTCTGTTCCAGTATAACCGTGCACAAAGCCATCTCCATAAAGACCAGTTCCCCTGACCAGTTCCCCTGACCAGTTTGAGGTAAAGTAACTCAGGTGGCCTGCACAGAGTCCTGACCTTAACCCTACTGAATACCAAATGAATTCAAATGCTGATTGCAAGCCAGGTCTTCCTCTCTGACATCAGCACCTGACCTTACAAATGCCCTTTTGGCTGCATGAGCACAAGTTCCCACAGCCACACTCCAAAATCTCTTGGAAAGCCGTCCTAGATGGCAACTCCATATTAATGCCCATGGTTTTGGAATGTCCAACAAGCTCGTATAGATGTGATTATCGGGTGTCCACAAACTCTGACCCATATAGTGTACTAGAAGAGGGCGGGTGATCCACCCGCGAGAGCCGGCTGCCAGGAAAACCTAAAATGTATTTAGGTGCACAGATTATGTTTAAGGTGCCGCAACAACCAATAACACCACCTGCATTGCAGATGATGATTTCTGATTGGCTGCGATGAGCAACTGCTCCTTGCAGTCGTCTTTTTAGAGAATTCGGAAAAGTCGGACAAGTTCCAGATGGAGCCGATCTGAGACAAATGGCACAACTCTGCACAGAACAGCGTGGACAAAATATGCTGCTTGTCTTAAATAAACTTACTCCATCTGTACATCTAATTCATTCGGCAGTTTTATTATAGCCCCAAACACTTTTTTTTTTTTCTGACTGTCAGTGTCTGAATAGTGGACTGTATATATAACGATGTGTCTGAAAGAAATACTGTGTGTGTTGCCAACAGAAGCCAGTCAGCGTGGCCTTTCTGTTTCTTAAACTGCACTAGACAAGAACACTCCTTGATAAATACAGCCCATTGCATCAGAATGACGAATATTTAAGCAACTGTTTTTGTTTGTAAGTTCCACTGTGCATACTCTCTCCCATGCATCACATGTCCACGTTCCATGGACTCCCCCTGCTGCATGCCATTCAGGGTTATCAGGAAAGCCTGCTCCTGTTTTTAGAAGCTTGAGAAATGCTGCGGGGGGGTGGCGGCGGCATGGCAGCAAGTTTTAACGAGCATCGGCAGCGCCAGTCTGCCCTCCGCACCTGTGCTCCCGTTTCCTGTGGGGAATGATGCTTATTAAAGTCATAAATTCTGTATCAGAGAAACAAGGAATAATTGAATTAGCTGATTGCAGGTCGCAATAAACTCCAAGCCGTTCCCCATTTTTATATCACCGTTAAAACTTTCTCCGCAGACGCTCAACTGTGTCAATCCGGAGAACGAGAATGCCCCGGAGATCCCGGTGAAGGTGCTGAACTGCGACACCATAACGCAAGTCAAGGAGAAGTTGCTGGACGCCGTGTACAAGGGTGTCCCGTACTCCCAGCGACCCAAAGCCGGAGACATGGACCTTGGTAAGAGCGTTGGGTTCTCAGCAGTTCATTCTGTAAACGTTATTTCAGAATGGTGTTTATTCTCCCAGAAGAACTTACACTCTATGTTCCCATCACAGCTGTACACATGACTAAGTCACTTTAAGAATGACGTTGAACATTTCTGGCCTTCGGAGTGGCTCATTATCACCCTCCAACCCACTTATACCCAACCTTGACATACTTTCCTATCTCCTTGTTACTACTTTTGAGCCCTCAGGAAATACCCAGCACTAGGGATGCACCAATACTGATACTAGAATTGGTGCCAATGCCGAGTATTTGGGCGAGTACGAGTCCTTGCCCGATTCTTCCTGTATCAGGAAGCCAGGCAACCAGTCATTACACGCTGCCCGGCTTTCTGATTGGCCGGGGAGCTGGCTCCATGCTCGCTCATCACTTGTGACGAGCAAGCATGGAGCGCCTTTCCATCCTATTAGTTGCTGACGCCAGTAATGTTTATTTTAGGTATTCATATAGCGGCAACAATTTACACAGTGCTTGACATAGTATTCAGTCACACAGTGTCCTCATGGAGCTTACAATCTAAGGTCCCTATATCTCCCACACACTAGGGCCAGTTTACCTACCAGCATGTCTTGGTAGCGTGGGGGGGTGGGCACCAGAGTACCTGAAGGAACCCACACAAGCACAGGGAGAACATGCAAACTCCTAGCAGATAGTGTCTTGGCCTGCAATCCAAACCAAAGACCCCAGTGCTGCCAGGCAGAAGTTATAATCACAAATCCAATAGACAGAATTCTGAACATTTTTATTGGTGCGTATTTTTGCAGAATGGCGCCAAGGCAGAATGGCCAGGATCATATTGCAGGATGAGGATGTGACGACCAAAATAGACAACGACTGGAAGCGCCTCAACACTCTGGCTCATTATCAGGTGGGTGAGCGTTCCTCTGCAATTGCTAAGAAGCCATTTTGATTTGGTATAACGATCTGAGGCTGTGTGGAAGAGTCGGTGTAGCCTATACAAGCTCTATTCTGCTCTATTCTATAGCTGTATTCTAATGGAGATTACAAAATGAAAAACATACTTGATCGGTTGTTCTTGGCAATAGCACTCTTACTAATTTGCTGTTTAATAATGAATGTTGGACGGGCCTATTGTGTACAACACCTTACATTCTCCAGATTGCTAAGTTTTGGCACTTGTGTCCCCCTTTAGGTCATCGATGGGTCTTCGGTTGCTCTGGTCCCCAAACAGAACTCCGCTTATAACATCTCAAATTCATCAACGTTTACAAAGTCTCTGAGCAGATACGGTAAGTGTACGAGTCTGGCCGGATGCAAGTGTGTGTGTGCGGTGACGTGCGCCGCGGTACATTTCCTATTTTTTATGTGACAGTGTGGGCAGGTTCTGTACAGGTGATCACTGTCCACTAATACTGATCACTGGCCAAACTGCAGCAAGCTGAAAACAGGATAATTTGTGTTTATCACAAAGATTGCTTATTACTCAGTGCCATCTACAGTCATTTCAGCACCCATCCTTATTGGGTTTACCAGTAAGGAGTGTGGCAGGATACCTACTGGACTGATGAGGGGATAATTCACTGTGCTGACAGGAAACCTTCATCTTTCAGCACAGCTGACAGTGATACAATGCAAAAAATGTGAAAAGTGGGCTAGAGCTCCCTCTGCTGGCTTGATGGGAAACTACTTAATATTAATATGCAATATTTGTGCGTAAATCCCACCCCCAACCACTTACTGTTCTTAATACCTTTTGCAGTGCTCCACTGCCTCTCTTTTTCCATGGCAGCTGCCACCAAACTACACTGTGTCACCTGGTGTCAGAGTTAAGAGGGAGCGGTGATGTCAACCCTTCCGCCATTAAACAAGTATGTCCCCTGCACACCATTCAGCAATCAGGACCGGTGCTTGAAATAGCAGTGGTGCTCGTAGTGATGTTCACGGACGGCGTTGTGCATATCCAGAGTTAATAGCAATGAAGATCACAAGCACTCGCAGGATGAAATAAACCAAAGTGTTCTTCTATTGTAGAAACATGTCCCGCGTGTAGTATAGCCAGCGTTTCAGAACCACGCAGGGTCCCTTCATCAGGGCAAATATAACCATGTTCTACATGCATGGGCAACACAGTGGCATTGTGGTCAGTGCTTCTGCCTTGCACTAGGGGTCCCTGGTTCGAATCCTGGCCAGGTCATTATCTGCAAAGGAGTTTGCATGTCCTCCCTGTTGCTTGTGTGTTTCCTCCCACACTCCAAAGACATGCCGGTAGGTTAATTGGCTCCTGTCTGTATATTGGCCCTCTATGTGAGATGGGGACCTTAGATTGTAAGCTCCTCAGGGGCAGGGGCTGATGTGAATGTGCTCTGTGTAAAAATGAATTGATGTACAGCACACCAACAATATTGCAGTCCAAAGTGTTAGTTTATTGGAACGTCATGTCACCAAAACTAGCGGGGCCACACGGTCCCCTTCATCAGGCTCAGCAATGATGGTCACATGACGTTCTAATAAACAAACACTTTGGACTGCAATATTGTTGGTGTGCTGGTGACATACATTCACTTTTTTACTGTGTGGCGGCGCCATCTGCAGGTCACTGCGAGCACCCCCCCTGCCCTCATCTAATTTGGGGTTTTCCTGGTAAGGAGTGCGACAAGGTATCTTTTTGCTTGTTTCTGTGCTCTGTGTAAAGCGCTGCGTAAATTGTCGGCGCTGTATAAATACCAGTGATAAATAATAATAAATAATTGGGCAAGGTGACAGGGCCTCTTGAACTGATTAAATAGAAAAAAAAATCCATAATAACCATAAGAAAGAATAAACTATCAATGTATCATTTCTATGTCCTGCAGTACATTATAAGTCTGCACAGCGCCGCTATTTCCCGAATCTCCTTTTTCGGGATGGTAATCTCCCTTTTCCGATCCGTCTCAGTGGTTTAATCCACCCGGCAGCACAGCAGTTTCCGATTGGCTGCCGGCCGGTCGGCTGCTTTGCAGAGCCGCACGCCTGTCACAGGGTTCCCGAAGCCGCTTTTGTCAGCCACAAAAAAAAAAAAAAAGATTGCGGCGATTTTTTGTTTTCCGCGTCGGGCCGCAGGATGCGTCTGATCTGTTTATTTTATTATAAAGGGACTTGTCTGGAGGTCAGACACATGCCGTCCTCGTAGTCACTAATTAAAGCCGCAGAAGCGATCTCAAATCAAAGGAAGTTGATAGTGATGCTAAAATTAATTATCGCACATAACAAGCTTTGAAATGTCAGAGCCGGAACGAGTGGCTGCCTTCAGCTCCTCATCCGCAAAGCTTTTGGGAACTGTTCATTAAACGCAGCTAACGCTTTGCTGGAAGAGCCTTTGAAGACTGGATTCTGATGAGGAAGCTGGAACGAACCATTTATGGGATGTTTAACTGATTTGTCTCCAGGGTCTTGCTGCGCCTGGCAGTCAAGCGTCGCAATCGGCCCGTGCCTTTCTCCGGCGGCCATTTTGTACGCTGAACCAGTAATCGGGATGGGCGGCAGTTCGTTGGCAGGGAGCTGGTTACCTCACTGTTTTCTCCTTATTGGTCCAGACACGGGACAGGTCCTCTTTCTCTGTAACGTGTTGTGGTTCTCTGCCGAATTCTCCTGTGATTCCAGGGAGGACTGATAACGCTTTCCCAGTAGGTGAACTCTTGCCACCCTGGGCTCATAGGAAGTGAGTTGAATGATGCTCGGTGTGTATCAAACGGCATCCATTGAAGGATCACCAGGGATTATTTTATTAGGGATGCACCGATACTAGTATCGGTGCCGATGCCGAGTACTTGGGCGAGTACTCGTACTTGCCCAAATGCTCCGATGTCTAACCCGATCCGGTATCAGGAAGCTAGGCGGCGAGTCATTATATGCTGCCTGGCTTCCTGATCTTCCAGAACCTGGCTCCATGCTCCCTCATCACTTGGTGATGAGGGAGCATGGAGCCGGCTTCCCGGCCAATCAGGAAGCTGGGCAGCATATAATGACTTGCCGCCTAGCTTCCTGATTGGTCGGGAAGAAAGCCAATTAGGAAGCCGGACGACGAGTCATTACTTGCGCCCCTGGCTTTCTGATTGCCCAGAGAGCTGGCTTCATGCTCCTTTGTCGCCTGGTGACGAGGGAGCATGGAGGCGGCTTCCCGGCCCATCAGGAAGCTGGGCGCCATGTAATGTCTCGTTGCCCGGCTTCCTGATTGGCCAGAAAGCCGGCCCCATGCTACCTAGTCACCTGGGGACGAGGAAGCATGGAGACGGCTTCCCTGCTGATCGGGAAGCCAGGTAGCAAATCATTACATGCCCCTTGGCTTCCTTAATTGGACTTCCGGTATTCCATATCGGCAAGTACCAAAAAAACATATTGGTACTCAACACCGAAAAAACTGCATCGGTGCATCCCAAATTTTAATGAAAGCTGCAAATTACCAAACATTGAAATGAACATGCTAAAGATTAGATTTCAGTGATTGGGTTGTGATCTAATTCACATAGGAAGCGATGTTGTGGCCGGCGCTTGAGGACATCATCAACCTGGTTTTACAGCACAAATTGTTTCCATTGACAAAATCCATGTTGACCCTCCCTGTCCATTGGCAGCGAGTGGCCCTTTTTTTTGTAGAGCAACCCTGAATCACACTGATCATTATACTAGATGTTTGAGATGTCACCATAGCAGCCATTTTTCCAAGTGTTCTATCAGTTCACCAGCAGCTGGTGATATGAGTGGGGCAAGAGACCTTTTTTTTTGCCTGGTGCCTGTCTGTTCCCCTCAGGAAATTCATAAGCAGCGTCTTGAATTGGCCCCCCCACATGTGCACCACACTATATTTCAGTCCATTTTTTTCCTTCATTTCCGATGTCACAGTCTATCTCCATCCCGAACCGCGTTTCAGCAATGACAGAGCTCAGATGAAAAACCATTTTCCCACAGATGGGGTCACGGACTGTAAGCTAAATAGATAATAACAGCTAAAATGTGGGATAGATGGAATGGAAAATGAAGACTAGATGTTGCAGACAGACGATTTATTCAGATATTTGTGAGACGGTGGAAGGTGATGGAGCTAGTGAAGGGAGGACTGTGATTATTATAATGGGTTGGCAGCATCAAATTGGATCATGACACCACATGAAGCTTAATTAGGATGAGAAGTAGTAATGTTTCCACAGCTACGGAGGGCGGGAGGGGACCAAAAGGCCGCGTTTATGTTCAATAAGTTTTTATTAGGGTATTTTCATTATTCCAAAACGAATAGAAAGTATTCAAGAACAAAGAAAGTCCGGTTAGGACCAACAATATGAAATAAGAAGCAGGTAAAGACATAAAAGGCCGCGTTTAGATGCTCCTCACACTCACCCTGTGAACTCTTTCCCCACAGAGAGCATGCTACGGACAGCGTCCAGCCCCGACAGCCTGCGCTCACGAACGCCTATGATCACCCCGGACCTGGAGAGCGGTACAAAGCTCTGGCACCTAGTGAAGAACCATGATCATTTGGACCAACGTGAGGGTGACAGAGGGAGCAAGATGGTGTCCGAAATCTATCTCACCAGATTATTGGCAACAAAGGTAAGAAGGAAAATATAGCAAACCATGTTCTGTCCCTTATTACTGTCTGAAGAAAAAGCAAATCCATCACAATTATCCTCCCATGTATACAGTGCAGCAAATAAAAATCAGAGCAGGTAATGTGGGAAACATTTAGAGCAGGAATAATGTGATATGACGTGAGGCGGCCTAAGATTACAGGTAGTGGGATCCTTTTTGGAACCGTAGGGCAGAATAAATGGGTTTTGTAAAAGCTTTACCCCCCCAAAAAAAAGAATACTTGCGAATTGCCTTTCAAGAATTGGATATCTGCCGACAAATTTACAGGTTAATAGACCCTAGAGGCTACAATCAAAATGGAAATATTTTACACATATATTTCAAAGTGCAGAAAGTGAGAGTGCTAGTCATAAATAATATTTATTGAGTTCATGATTCTACACAAAATTTACCTATCTGTCACAGCAATGTGAAGTAGGGGCATCACTAAAGTACAAGGAACGCCACTCGTAACTATCAATGAGTAGCTATCAATGAGGTGCTAAGGATTCTGCTATGAGGTAGGGCCATCATCATACTTTGGACTAAGGAAGGACCTAGAGCCATCACTGACAAACGTACGTGGGTAGGAACTAGGGCCATCACTGAGGTACAGTGGACTTTGTTAGGAACTAGGGCCATGACTGAGGTACAGTGGACTTTGTTAGGAACTAGGGCCATGACTGAGGTACAGTGGACTTTGGTAGAAACTAGGGTCAACAATGAGGTGCAGTTGACTTTGATAGAAACTAGGGCTATCCTCAAGGTGCAGTGGACTTCAGTAGGAAGACCTTCACTGAGGTACAAAGAACTGTGTTAGGACCATCACCAAGGTAAAAGTAACTTTGGTAGGAGCTTAGGCAGTTACTGAGACACAAGGAACATGGCTAGGATCTGACACGAGGATCTCCACAAGGGTCTAAACTTATTACTAAGGTACAAGAAATTCCGCTAGGAACCGGGCCATCACCAAGGTGCAGTGGACTTCGGTAGGAACTAAGACCTTCACTGAGGTACAAAGAACTCTATTAGGGCCACCACCCGAGGTTCAAGGAACTGTGCTAGGAGCTAAGGCATTTACTGAGGCACAAGATGTTTCCTAGGATCTGACGCCATCACTGAGATACAAGGAGCTCCACAGTCACCTTGGCCTATCACTGAGGTATTAGGACCATTGCTGAGTCTCAAGGCCTCATGAAATCAGTGTAAATATATATTTCTTACGGATGACTCCAATTCCTAGAGATCTGATCAGCTTCAGCAAAACACACACAAAAAAAAGGACTGTCGAGAAAGCAGACTCTGATGACATTTTTGCATCCCTCTTGTTGACAAAGCAGAAACAGGCCCCTGCGTCCTCCTGCTAACGCACAGCCTATTTTCCAGAGTGACCCGGCAATGGCAGTGATTGGCGTTATAATTTAGCCGCTTCCCTGGATCAGCAGAAAGGAAGTCAGAAGAGAGGGAGTTACGGGCTTTACAGCTGCAATCGATGGGTTATGACACAAATTAACCGCTATTGTTTCGTAATGGCCGTATAAAAGGAATTCATAAGAGGTTCTTTCAATAAACCCCCAGCCGTTGTTAAGACATTATGAAAACCCACATTAATTGCACTTGCTGTAAATATCGTTGCGTGTTATTTATATCCGCGCGTCTCTATACGTTTTCGGGCTTCGGTTAGCGGGATATATATTTATTTAACAGGGAGTGGTATTTACGGCTTGCTTATGGATATTAATGGCTATAGGAAAGATTAATTCTTCCTTTAATGAGCTTTTCTGCGGACTCTGAACCTTCAGCAAATCTTCCTCGCTACATAACGTCTCCACGAGTGTAATAACTTGTAGGTCTACGGGGAATCTGCCCGCGCAACAACAAAATTAATTGCAAACGCGGGAGGAAATATTTAGGCGTATTCTGAAGGATTCCCGTTGAATTTGTAGTGCTCCCATAGGAAATGCTTGCTTTTATTCCCTTGCTGTGGATTCTCATGCATTTTATCTCGGCGAGGAAGGATAATATAAAAAGCCTTATTTCTGCCATTTCAACTTATAGACGGATGTAAAGGCATCCTGGGGATGTTACTGTTTACTCTTGCAAGCGCGCATTTGTAATGCTGTTTTGAAATATGTTCGGAGTGCACCTCGGAGCATGCCGCTACATAGGTGGGTAGGGAGTGCAGTCATGACTCTTGTATTATTATTATTTTTTTAATGTAGTTTTTAGTGCATTTTGGATGGATGGTGCTAAGCTTTGCCACCTGGAACACTAAGGGGGCTATTCACAAAGGAGCCGAAGGATCCAGCCCTAGCTTCGGCTGATCCTTCGGCCACCGGAGCCCTTCGAAGGGCTGCTGTACGGGCTATTTTAAATAGCCCGTACAGCAGCCGAAGGCGGCCAAGCAGGAGGCATATGCTTCAGCTCGACTGAGTTGAAGTGTCGGCCTGAAGCAGGGCGAACGGCCTGCGGAAGGCCGGCCTTTTGCCCCGAAAATGACAGCTATTGACGGCGGCATTCAGCTATGCACTCACTGCCGTTTGGTCACTATGTGATTATGTGGTTCAGTTGAATGCAAACCTCAGCAGATGCATATACTTCCCTTCTGTTCACATGTCACTCCATTCAGTTGCTGGAATTGTATGGAAAGCCATTGTGTAGGCTACAAGTCTCTGGATTTGTAACTCACACAGGGCTATCAACTCCCCAGTGATTTTTCGGATTGGCCCAGTGCTGTCACATGCTCCTCCATACCCAGAAATATTAATTCCTTTGGCTCGTAATGCCGAACAGAACAGAGGAGTAGAAGAGATTATACACTGCTGGTGGTGGGAGGAGTAAAGGGAACCTGTTGAATATTCAAACTATATACTAACATTAAATAAACAATGCCTTCCCTTTAAGTAGACTGGGTCTCCGCTGCACCACACACTGTAACGTCTTCTTTCCCCGACCCAGTAATGCTTAATGCCTGCATGTGCGCATTAAAGGGATGGCTCCCTTTTATATGGAGATGAGGGAGTAATTGCTCATCAGTCACACACCTTTCCCACTGCGTTGTTGGATTTCCGTGAGCGTTAACAAGCACTGCTGACACTCAACGTGTGCTCGTTATTATTTAGCCATTTGGGCTCCGGTGACAGAAATCCATTGCACTCGAATGGTAACCTTAAGAAAGTGCAATCATTGATTTACCTGTATGTATGACAGAGGGGGAGGAATAGATTTTGTTAAAAAGATGATGACAACAACTAAGGTAGCCAATAAAGAGCACCTGTCTCTTAGCTCTTGGTTTAGACAGCCTCTAAGGAATCTTTCAGGGCTGCATTGAGAATGGCCATTGCCGACATGTCTTTGGAGGTGCTGGCTTCAGAGCTTTCATCTTCATCCTGGTTTCACTACTTAATGAGTTGCTGCCCTATTGCAAGCATGTGCATATGAGGTTCTCCAGCACATTGTATACACGGGTTCTTTCCTGGCCAGCCGTTCATTAAATAGCGATGGAAGGATGAGTGAAGCAGCAGCTGGCATATGCCTGTCCTGATAACTGTCAATGAAGTGATTTATTGAGCTGGACTTAGAGCCTCTATCATACCGGCAAGTTTTCATTTGGAATAATTTTTTGAAGATGGTACAAATAGGTAGGAGATGGATTCCAACTCTCATCTTCCTATTACACAGGACACTGCTTACGTCCGATTAGGTTGCTCTAGTTCTACCTTGTTGCATTGCTCTGAATCCTTATCGTTCTTGTTTCCTGTCTCCAGGGCACCCTCCAGAAGTTCGTAGACGACTTATTCGAAACCATATTCAGCACGGCACACCGCGGCAGCGCACTACCTCTCGCCATAAAATATATGTTTGACTTTCTGGATGAGCAGGCGGATAAACACCAAATCACAGATTACGATGTGCGGCATACATGGAAAAGTAATTGGTAAGTGACCCTAACTTGGGCTTCATGATGCTGACTCAAAGCTATTGAGTGCCCCGAGGTGGTGGGATGTATACTAGTTATTAGGGATGCACCGATACCGGTATTTCGAGTACCGATATATTTTTTTTTGTGGGTACTTGCCGATACCGAATACCAATACCAGAAGTCCTAATAATGAAGCCAGGCGGCGTGTAAACACTCGCCACCCGGCTTCCCAATTAGCAGGGAAGCCGTCCCCATGCTTCTCGTCATTAGGTGACAAGAAAGCATGGAGCTGGCTTCCCGGCCAATCAGGAAGCTGGGCAGCGTGTAATGACTTGCTGCCCGGCTTCCTAGTACCGTAAGTATCGGGCTAGGCATTTGGGCGAGTACTCGTACTCGCCCCAAATACTCGGCTTTGGCACTGATACTAGTATCGGTATCAGTGCATCCCTACTAGTTATGAACTCACTCAGTTATTGTATGTAATAGGTTACAGCCAGGTGCTATTACTTGTAAGCTATAGAAGTTCCTGAACTAAAGTTTAGACTTGCAGCACTCCCAGTTCCCAGCTTCATTAGGGTCACCATATGGGTGGGTCTGTTCTTGACTCAACCCACAAAGTCTGCACTGCGGCTTGTACAGCAACGTACAAAGAAACCTTTGCGGTGTTATATAGTGAGTCTGAATCCAATGTGGATTGTTAGCTTTTCTGCCAAACCAGTGCATCCAAAAAGTGAATGCCAACAAAGGAAAACTGTTATGGTTTATTACCGAATTGCAGAAGATTTCTGGAATGAAAGAAGCTTTAGGCCTGGTTCACACCTGGGCGTTTTACAGCGCGTTCCTACACGCTGTAAAACGCTCAACATGTGAAAACCAATGATTGCCTATGGGCATGGTTCCCACCTGGGCGTTTTACAGCGCATAGGAACGCTCTGCAAAACGCCCAAAGAAGTACAGGAGCTTCTTTGGGGCGTTTTGCTGCGCGTTGCCATTGGTATTCCCGAGTGTGGATCGGGGTTAACAAAGCGGTAACCCCGAGCCACACTCGGGAATACAGCGTACAGGTCTTACCTTGTCCGCGATCCCCGCTGTGTCTTCGGCGACTTCCGGGTACTTTCCCTTGCGAGCGGCCGCGTCGCAGGGGGGCGGAGCCGGCGGGAAGTTTAAAAGTGAAACTAAAAAAAATAGATCTATTTTTTTTAAATCGAGAAAATAAAGGAAAAAAACAAAAATCATACCGCCAGTGAAACGCGCGTTTCACTGAACTGAAAAACGAGCATTAAAAAACCGCTCAGGTGTGAACCCAGCCTTAGGGGTAAAATTTGACTGCAAAGTTTTCCTCTTAGCTTTGTCTGAGTGTAAGACTCTTCAGACCTGTGACTTTCCTCCTCGCTATTAGCTTCTGTATCGGGAAGGTCGGGAGGACATTTCCGCAGTCTTTTCTCCTTTCCAGCTGAACGTTTTCTTAGGCAGAGTCCCCTTTTCACCTTTACTTGGATATACAGCTGGGACTATCCCCCTCCCTTCCTTCTGTATGCGTCGATTTCATTTCGCTGGCGTTCCCTCTGTTTCCAGCCAGCGGGACATCCCTACATATGACATTTGTAATATGGCAGATAAATTGCTTTTCTATGGTTCGGTGGCTGCCAGCAATTAGCAGCGATGGCTGGGGAAATGCATATATACTTATCTTAACCCATCAGTAGATACAAAAGCTGTGACTTTGCTGTTACCGGGAATCTGCCGATGACATCTAAGAGTGGAGTGAAAATATGAAAGACATTAGCCGGGTTGCAGGAGGACATCTTGATCTCATCAGTGAAATAAATCAACATATTGCTCAAACATTCTAGTTCCAAGTACAAAAAAAAAAATCAAACTTTTGAATTTTAACAGATTCTGCCTTAGGGCGGGGAGAAGTCTCCTGTGAATACAGAGGGGGAAATCTAATAAATTGAAGAGCGAAAGATAAAGATCTGCTCACAAAGAGATGTTCTAGTAAGTTGGAACACCTCCCAATTCAACAATGAGTCCCCATGCGGAGGTTCCCATAATCACCCTTAAAGGAGAACTATGCGGTTAGGGCTTTTCCCCATAGTTCTCCTTAGGGTAACTAGAGGACACAAACCAGCGTCCTCCCGTCACCCTAAGCTCAGTATACCGCGAGCTACAGCTCGCGGTAAACTGAGACGCCGCAGCCAGGACGGATCCCGACATTACTGTCTGGATCCACCCAGCTGAGTGATTTTCACTCACCTCATAGTTCTCCTTTTAAAGTGAACCTGTGCTTTGTCCATGCAGAACAAACCAATAGGTGCCCTTTGATGCCCCTTACATAGCTGCATATGCCTTTCCTTCACTCCCCCTCTGTTTAGCCACTAGGAGTAATGAGACAAGTGTTAGCGCCAAGTTGTTCCAATTAGAGATTCCGGAGAGCTGTGCCCCCTTGTGAGAGCGCAGGGCAAATCGCCAAGCACCAGCACTCTCGCATTGGGTGAGCCACATGTTCCTCTGTTCCCAAAAGTACCATATTTTTTCTTTGTGTGTTCCCTGGTTCTGGTCATGGGCCTCTGTACTTCCCAGAGGTTGCTGTTCCAGCCAGAACCTGCAAAACTCAAACTGAAGTAAGATTGTGGCCCATTTTGCCATTTCTTAGATGGGGTTAGCAGTTCATTTGCTGGTTGGAGTTTCTTTAACACTGTTTTCCCTTTCAGTTTACCTCTGAGGTTCTGGGTGAACGTCATCAAGAACCCTCAGTTCGTGTTTGACATCCACAAGAACAGCATCACGGACGCCTGCCTCTCGGTGGTGGCCCAGACCTTCATGGACTCTTGTTCTACGTCAGAGCACAAGTTGGGCAAAGATTCTCCCAGTAACAAGCTGCTGTATGCCAAGGACATACCCAACTACAAGAGCTGGGTGGAGAGGTAAGTGGGCTCTACTGCCGTGACAGAATTGTAGTTTAGGTCGGGGCCACACCAGGCGTCTGAGTCTTGACTGAGTATTATGATTGCTTGTTTCAGGTATTACACCGACATCGCCAAAATGCCCGTAATAAGCGACCAGGATATGAGCGCGTACCTGGCCGAGCAATCACGGCTACACCTGAGCCAGTTCAACAGCATGAGCGCCCTACACGAAATCTACTCCTACATCACCAAGTACAGAGACGAGGTGAGCACCAACGGCGGGATCTGGGAAGGCAAACAATGGCTGTTCTTGGCGTCTTGGTTCCTAACGCCGCCCTCTTGCCATAGACATCAAATGTCTCCCTGTGCCTGGTATATATATATATATACAGCAGGAGCCATGAGACTCCACCACCTGGGGCAGTAACTCTGGTTGTGAGGTCTCTGGTATCCCTGAGAGATATAGGAACCCGGGGGGCTGATTTGACTTTCCACCGTCAAATATATGTCATAAAAACAAAGATTCTTGGTTGGTAAATACTTTAGTACATGGCCAGTCCTAATATTGGCAGCAAAATGGTTGTAACGCTGGCAACTGGCATTTATATTCAATCCACACAGATCAGTTTAGTAAAGTCTGCACCCGAGTCCATTTTAAAGCTCTGATTTGAATTGAAGCCTTGAAGGGGGAGTGGTTTGGCCCCCAAAATGCGTTGGATGTTTATGAAATTAAAGTGGCTTGGACTTTCTTACCGCTTGGTCTCTCTCGAGTTTACTTCAATTGTTTATACTTGACATCACTGCCTGGGTACCATTTGAGGGGTATTCTGGAACTCCATCCTTGCCCAGTTGTATTGGCTTCTCTAATGGACTGAAATGGCTTACTGTGTTTTCACTGCACACTGTGAGCTTTAGAAGCTGCAGCAAGTCAGCCCGGCCTTATTTCCTGGCTGGAGGACGTCCACCTCACTGAAACGCTACCCATTCTTTCCAGTACACTCCGTGCAAACTCACAACCTGTGAAAAGACTGCGCAGTAGTTCATCTTGCTTTTGATAAAAAATGAAATGGAGTTGCACCTCTCGTCAGTGTCCTCTTTATCTCGCCACTCCGAGATTTGACGTTGAACTTTCATATTTAGCGTTATCAACACAGACATAATTCCTGCTATTAAGGTGATGATAATTGTATTGGTAATTTATGAGTCAGTAATAGATGTTGTGACAGCCACCAATAACTTTTATTTTAGGTTAAATACACTTTCCTGACATCCTGTCGCATTTAATTTACCTGTAAAATCATTATGTTGGTGACAGGGTCTCTTTAAAGGACAACACAGTCAGAAGCTGGAAAATGGTTTGCTTATTTACAGGGCTATTCGTAAAAGAGTGAAGAGTTTGGAGAAGACAGGAAAAGGGAACAATCTAGGACAACATGGCTGAACTGGAGAGTGAGCTGAATTGGAGATTTTGTCCAAATCAGATATGTTGTCCTAGATTGTTCCCTTCTCCTCTGGCCTTCTCCAAACTCTTCACCCTTTTGTGAATTACCTTGTTAGTACCAGCCGGACTATGCGTGCCCTGGTCCTGTGTTTTACTTGCTATGACAATTTTTCTAATTTATTCAAGGATTGATAATGGTGGGTGGTTCTTTACCGCTTCTTTTCTCAATCAAGTCAATAAGGACTGACGCCGTAAAAACAATGCCCTCCCTGTGTGGATAATATCTCAGCAGTTAAAGGAGAACTATGAGGCAAGTGATTTTCACTCAGCCTCCTAGTTCTAGCCGACCGGTGACAATTAAACTGTCGCAGGTCGGCTCACTAGATCGGGAAGTGAGCGAACACATACCGTCGCTCGCTCACTTCTCGATCTAGCCTGCAGAGAGCCGTGACTGTCACTCACGGCTCCCTGCAGGGATTTACCCCCTCCCCTGTCCGATCCTCCAGCGCTGACTGGCGGATCGGACGGGGGAAGGAGCGGGTACAGCTGGCTCTGCCTCTGGATAGGCAGAGCCAGCTGTCAATCACGCAGCTGGGCGGATCCAGACAGTATTGTCGGGATCTGTCCCAGCTCGCGGTATACTGAGCTATGGGTGACGGGAGGACGCTAGTTTGTGTCCTCCCGTTACCCTTAGGGGAACTATGGGGAAAAGCCCTGACCCCATAGTTCTCCTTTAACAGAGAGGAGCACTTGCCCCTGAGTACTCCCTCTAGTGGCAAATCTCTAACATTAACAAAGATATGAATGAGCAAGCTTGTATAAAGTAATTGTAATTAAAAAAAGATGAGCAGGTCGGCTATTAAAATCCTATATGATGGAACTCGGTTGTGTAATATCATTTGTATGTTGAGTTCACATTTCCTTTTTCTATTGCAGATCTTAACCGCGCTGGAAAAAGACGAACAAGCGAGGAGGCAGCGGCTACGAAGTAAATTGGAACAAGTTATCGACACAATGTCGCAGAGCAGTTGAAGTCCACGACGGCCGCGCTCCAGGGCGTTGGTGGTAACTGAGCGAGACGGGGGGGGGGAAAGCGCTAAAACGTGACCACACTCCCAAAGCATGTGGCCTTGACAAAAAACCAACAAACTGCAGAACTGTTCTGAAATTTGAAACAAACATGAACAACAAACAAAAAAAAATGAAAGAAAAAAAAAAAAAAGCTTACATGTACATAAAATTAATTTAGAGAACATTTCAAAGAATGACATAGAAATCCTTTATAAACAGTTTTACGGACTCCTTAAAGTTCAGTACAAATTAAGAATATAGATTAAAGACCATGTCAGCTGCCTGTTCCAAAGGGGAAGACGGTGCTCGTGGCGGAGGAAAACGTGTGAAGACGGAAAGGACTGGACTATGTAGGACCTATAAGATTGCAGAAGAGACTTTCTCCCACCTCCTCCCTCCCGCCCCGCGTAGGCAGGCAGCCGATCGGCCCTCAAGAAAAGAAAAAAAGACAACCTCTCTCTCTCTCTCTTTGGCTTTTTGCCACCTAGTGTTAAACTGCTACATTTGCACAATTTATTGAGAATTTCGGGGTTTTTAAAGAAATTAAAAAAATAATTAAAAAAAAGCAATCGAGGAGAGAAAAAAAAAAATCTTTGAAGGGTTTGAGTGCGTTCTGGGAGACGGAAGAACTTCAAGAGCGTCCCGTGGATTTACCTGCGAGGAGGACAAAAAAAAAATATAATTCCAGAACCTTTCATATTTTTCTAGACTATATTATGTGCCATGTTTCATTTCAATGTTGTTTTAGTGAATAAAAATGTCATTTCAACTTCTTACTAAACCCCTTGTATGTTATTTTGGAATGAATTGTGAGTTTTATTTTACAATTATTATTGTTGGATATGTTTCATGAATATATTAAGGCTACTGGAAGCACATTCAGAATCACGGCACCTGTTAACGCGAATGTACATACTACAGATTGGCTAGCAAAGCGCATTCCCAGAATGCTTTGCTGCAGCAGATGAACCACGTGGGCATTAATATGTAGGGATCTGCGGACCGAAGCTACAAATGAGAGGGGTACAGGGCACCAAAAAGTCTCGTTTTGGTTTAGTTCTTCTCCTGTTAATTTATTAGGCGCTTCAGGTCTTGTACTGTTGCAGACTGGTTGTAGTGAAATGTTTGGGACGCCCCTGAATGTAATATTGCCGGGGACGAGGTTAAATGGCGGAGCTGCTTTGAGCATTCCAAAGTATAACTTGCATGGGCGGGTTGTGTTCCCGGGTTTGTGGTTCATTCATACTGGCCAGAAAATGTGTCCAACCAATGGGAGGAGTCGGTAAAACACTGCAGATCAGTAAAGACTGTTTATGTCCGATTAGTCCCTCATGTACCCATGATCTTAAAATAACATCTTCATGAATTAGAAATATAATTTCAACCATTACACCTCGCTCACCGTAAGGAAATTTACCATTGTTGACCTCAGCCTCCGAAATTGTTTTGTTTTCTTCCTCTGATCCAATGGCTTCAGTACTTTAAAGGATAAGTGCACATTAAAAGAAAATGGACTTGTGCCTTTACCCTAACCCTCTCCCTGCAGATGCATACTTACCTTGATTTGATGGCTGCAGCCTCTGGTGTTTGTTTACCTTCAAGGTTTACAGTCCTGGCCTCATCTGTGTATTAGAGCCCAATGGACTTTTGCCTCCGGCCTTGGAAAACAGCTCCATAGAAGTCTATGGGGCTATAGTATGCAGGCAAGGCCAGAAATGGCCTCTGGTGTTTGTTTATACAGTCTTGGCCTCGCCTGTGTATTACAGCCCAATGGACGTTCATCTCCAGCCTTGGGACACAGCTCCATAGAAGCCTATGAGGCTATAATGTGCAGACAAGGCCAGGACTGGCTTCTGGTGCTCGTTTACATCCAGTACTGCAAGTCTTACTGTCCTGGCCTTGTCTGCACCATAGATGTTTATGGGACCGTCTCCATACTCGGGACACAGCCCCATAGAAGTCTGTGGGGCTATAATGCGCAGGCCAGGTTAGGACTTGCTTCACTCTAATGGCCCCGGGTCTCTTGTTTACATCCAGTGCCGCAAGTCTCACCTGCCTGGCTGTGCAGCAATGGATCTAAACAGAGGCTGCAGCTGTTGGATTGAGGTAAGTATGCGTCTGAAGGGGGAAGGTGGGTTTGGTCAGGCAAAATGATAAGTGCACTTCTCCTTCAATTTATGGAGTACGGTGGCTCAGAAAGCGTTGAAGTAGCAGCTAATCTTTTAGAAGGAAATCAACAATTCTTTAAACCTTGTTAGTTTTCTCTACCCCGTCTAGGCCGGCATTGTCCAGTAATCCCAATTTATTGGATGGTGTGTATAATAGAAAAATTCTAGAGTTACATAAAGACAAAATAAAATACCAAAAATCGTCCCCATAGACACGTGAAGTCACTTTCAGATATTTATGTACTTTTCCTATGTAGCATTAGTTTCTGTTTTTTAAACCAAAACATATCACAGACCTAAAAATAAAAGCAGCCTTCTTCCTCTCCTACCTCAAGAGGTGGCTGGAGTTCGGCCTTCTTCCTCTCCTACCTCAAGAGGTGGCTGGAGTTCGGCCTTCTTCCTCTCCTACCTCAAGAGGTGGCTGGAGTTCGGCTAACTCCGTTAAGCAATAACATACTTTACAATCACTGCCTTGTCCATCTTTGGACGTCCTCATAATTATCAGCCGCTTCCATTGTCCTTTTTCCTTTGGGATCTTTTTTTCACCAAGCCGATAACACGGCCTGGTCCCCTGCCAACCAATCTGCCTGGACTGTCATTTAATGGCTGCCTCTCAAAGCTACAGAAGATGGCAATTATGTCCTGGTTGGCCAGTATACAGCCCCATAGTTGTTTAGATATTGCTGGTGCCAGTCTGTGTGGGGTAATAAAACCAGCTGCAGACTGCCTCTCAGGCTTTGGTAAGCCGGCTCTAGAAACAGTTGTCCGTTGTCTCTAGGTTCCAAGTTGACTATTGCTTCCATAGTGTAATTGTTATAACGCCCTCCACTGGCTGTCAACTGTACATTAGGGATGGCTTTCAAGGAATGACTTGCACCTATTTCAGGGTAAACAGCCAGAAGAAAGTATATAGTCTTACGTAACAGGTGCACATTGGTCCTTGTGAGTGACAGAAGAACCCCCCTCCAGTCACACATAGTTCCTCCCTTTGCTGAGGAAGATGAGCAGGTTACTATTGGAAGCCATTCTGATGAATGGAGTTCACCCCCGATGGAAATTCGCCCACCCAAGTGAATTTCCACTTTCTTCCTTCCCGTTTAGATAAAACCGGGCCCGCTCTACTTAACGATGTCTTCCCTTTATGAATGGCAGATTTGCCAGTCCAAACTGTCTTTTTAGATTGTTTGTACCCTCCCGCAGAACAAGCCCCATCCATCCTAGCAGCCAGAGCATCGCTTGGCTGTCTGCAGACAGTTCTCTGCCTGTCTGATGTATGGGTCGATTAGAAGGAAACAAACATCAAACGTTCAGAAGCTTTAATGCATCTTTTAAATGTAATAAATCCCCAGCCGGAACATATAAGACGGCTTCTCCTTCCATCTGTTTACTGGATACATGGGAGAAACTTTCCGCTCTTTGTGGCCAAGGGAGCTGCCTGCTCGAGGGAGGACGGGAATATCACATCGAGACCCTTTATCACTAGATCTATGTTTTCTACGTTGAATGATCAATAGATTTTGCTCTGGTTCTTTGCTTCTACCCAAGTTGTCTCTTGGGGCCGATGCAAGTTAACTCTTGGCAGATGACCCTTCAGCTAAAATAAAAATCCCTTTCTCAGTTGACTAAATAGAATGACTGTTACATATACATAAAGAGTGTAGCCAGCAGCTGACAAACTTTCACATGGTTAAGAAAAATGAAAACTTCCACCAATGTTCAAGTGACCTTTACTTCCTGCCGGGTATGATATCCAGGCTTGTAATGGCCAGGCATGAAACTGAGAACATGTGGAATACATAGATATTTACATGTGGATTATCAGCTAATGGCCTTTGTCCATAGTCAGGACAGGTACAGGAGCCTTAAGCAGAGACGTCCCAACAACTGCAGCTGGCAATCCACCCGTGCCAAGACGCAATTACTTGTAGGGAGAGGATTGACACTGCAAAAACAGTATCCAAGATTTTGTTTCTAGACACAACCTACTTGTAAGGAGAAACGTTCCGATACCTAAAACATTCCACAGTATCCTAGACACCTGTTTCTAGACACAACCTAATTGTAGACAAGAGAGGCATGCAACAATGTTAGTAAGTCAGCTAAAGGACTTTAGTTCAGTTTCCATGAGGGTATTACTATAGTGATTGCAGCAACCACAACAGTTGGCGCTTCCATCACTCTAATACGATTATTTTTAGTAGTAGAATCTATTAGATTTACATTTCTATAAAAGCAAAGCAGATGATCGTTCTGAGGTGCGGTAATCCTCGAACCAAACATCATCTGGGGTAGTAATCTAGAGGCAGATACAGGTCACCGCCTCGCTGCGGGTGACGGGGACCAATAGAACAGAATTAGGTGTTATCACCTTGGTAAAGGGACCTCGCATGTCCCCGAAACTTCCGATGTAGTACAATGATGACCGTGTGAATCCTCAATGCCCATTGGCCGAGTGCTGGCCTTCCTTGTGGGGTTTTAAATTTCATTTACCAATTAATGGGTGTTGGGTATCAGCTTAACAGTCTTGCAGTGTTCTACCGACTTCTCCAGCAACTATGGGCTTCAAGTCCAACTCCAGATAAAACTTGATAAAGCTGTAGATAGAATGGGGAGGGGTGACAACCTTTTGGGTTTTTATTGATGTCCTTGTACCTGTTGGGTAGATTTCCTCACAGTGCCTGTTGTGGTGACTAGAAGAGAAGGCAACTCTCTCCATTGGTGTCAGACACCGCGACAAAAACATTTTTTCCAGGCGGCGAAGGACCAGAACATCAGTTTTTCTTCCTGCTGTGTCTTCCTCCTCATTACTGTTCTCCTGGTGTCACAGGGACAGGAAATGTTCCCCGGCCTGCTTACAGACATCAATGAAAACCTCCAAAGGTTTGAATCCTTCCTCAATCTAGAACTGAAAACATTTGTCTGGAGTTGGGCTTTACTTTTTTTTCGGTGGCTTTCCCATTCTTAAACCCACAGTGCTCTTCAGACCATTTATGTTGCTGCTCAGCTCCAGTCAGTCTCCATCTAGCATACCTGTCCACTTAACCCCTCCATTGCTGCAGCCAATGGGAGCAGTAGCTGAATTCAGTCTGGCAAAAAAAAACAATGAACGAATAAAAAACCTCTCCCCGCTGAGCCATCCCCTGTAAATATCTTACTATTTTAATGTTGCTCAGATTTAGTACTTGTAAATAAAATCCTCGCGTCACAAAAGAGATTAAACATTTTTGCTAAATAAAACCAGCTGGTGTCTGTTTTTCTGTGTGTGCTCGTCTGTTAATGGGAGAGCGCTGTCCAAATGAACAAAAAAGTGTATGCAAATATCGAAAAGGTCGTTTTACCATATCTGCATGTGGAGCCAAAGCAAGTACTTGGCAAGGGAAGGCGGTCGCCATTGATAAATTAAGCCTAAGATAGAATACTTACCCTTTCAATGGCGATCTCGTTCCCTTTCCAAGTATCTATGCTGGCTCCATATGTGGATATGGTAAAATTACCTTTATAGGGGGGTAAAAGGATCTCTGTGGGAACATGTGGGTTGTTATAAAAATGATAGTTCCCTGGTTATGGCCGCCTTTAATGCTTTGGAATCAGT